TTCTCTCAGATCTCAGTCCTCTCCAGGTGAACTCAGCCCAGTGGGCACCCCGGGAGTGGGGTGCCCCCGAGTTCCCCAGCTGGCTCCGCCGCTGCCATCCTCCGTGGGTGGCGCCAGCCCGACGCAGGCAGCTGCCCGGCCAGGAGCCAGGGAGCGGGGGCAGCGCCCTCCTCCCTTCTCTGCTCGATCCCGGGCGAAGCACCTTTTCCGGTTCCCTTGTCCTGACTTAAATAGGGCAATTCGCAGAGGCGCCCTATTGGCTCAATCCCGAGGGGGATGGCAGTCTGATCTGGTGGCCAGAACTAAGCCTAACCCGGTTCCAAGACCGGGGAGGTCACAGGGACCAAAACCCCTCTCCTGCCACCAGAACCACCCCCCGCTCCACATCAAACCATGACACATCCATTCTATGTAACCATATGTGCATTTCTAGCAGTATGAGCTGGTACTCCTGCCTCTTCAAAAACTAATTCCAGCTTCCGTGACTCTCTATCATCACGATGACTTAAAGTCACAATGTCAGTGCTGCTAACACTAATCTGATAAACTCTTTATATGCAACCTACAAGTCAGTTAAAGAGGATAATCAGTTCCTACCTCCAGACAGAAGGCTGAGTTCAGAGGAAAGGGAGATGCCTCCAAACGTGAGTAGCAAGCCTGCAATGGCTGTGTTTGCCCAAAGCTGTCACCACACTCAAGCAAGCAGGAACACCATTTGTGCAGATACGGCCTGCAAACAAAAAGCTGCTTAAACAGAGTAAGTATTGTTGGTTACCTAACAGTTAAAATGTGTACTAAGTTCTGTTACATCATTAAGCTACCTTGATAATTTCTTTGTGTCTACACTAGTAGATTGTATCTACACATAAACAAAGGATAAGATAGTTAAAAGCTTTTAAAAGTTCTTCTGTCACTAATAAACAGAATATGTTAATTTTTTTACTATCAACTATGAGCTGGTCAGGCCAGAGGTAGAGTCAGTGACGTGCAAAGTTGTCCTCTTTTGTCTCTCAGAGAAACAGGATTAGTTGAACTGACAAAAGATTAGCAGGCAGATGGCACGCCACGGAGGGCAAAGCACATTGTCAAAGCTCGTAAGACAATCTGCCCTGGGGTTGGTTTGGCTTGGCACCCATTAGAACAACAATTTAGAGCAGAAAATGAGAAAATCAAAATATAAGGAAGACAAAAAATAATTGTTGCAGTTCTCGATTCTTCTTATTCATATGAGATATATAGAAAATTCTAAGCTTTCTTCTGTGAAGTGCTGGGAAACGTGTGGAAGGCATTTGCCTTGAATAAACAAGTTTGCCACACATATGTAGACAGTGTGGTCCTGGAGTACAAAGATACTGTTCCTCAATAAAAGAGGAATTCTATTGCTTCCCTGGCAAACAAGACAGCTAAGGTAGTGCAGCTGGAGATGCCCATGAATGCTGAGCCAGCATGTGCTGAAGGGCATGCAGAAGGGCATGCACCAATTTCATGGTGCAAAAGCCACTGGAAACTGCTAGGTCCCCAGCACTATCTTCTTCCCAGCTCTGATACTGGATCCGTATCTAATATCTGAAGATGACATAGCTAAACTCCACGGGCAGAAGGTTTGCATAATTTAGAAGTTTGACATAAAACTACCTAGGTAGTTAGTGAGGTATAAACTAAAAATAGACTTAGTTCTATTAATGTGGAAAAATAGCTCTGGAGTTTGTACAAGAAATGTTGCATAGCTTGGCCAAATACCTGCTTATAATAAGGCATGTCAATAAAGGTTCCATCTTTGATCCTTCTTATATTTTAGATGGCTACTATCATTTCATGAATGCTATGTCTAACCTGTCACTGGGCTTTCATCCACCTTTCTTTAGAGGTAAGTGGGATTTCCAACCTTGGTTTTTCAATTTTTCTTAGGGGATGTTTTCTACCAACTCACTCTGATTACTGGTTTATTAAGGAATTTGATGACTACTGTGGTATAAACAACAACATTGGTTGCTTTGTTCCTGCCAAAGTTTCTAACTTCCCTAACTGGGTCACCGTTTTACTGAGGTGCACTTCAGGGAAAATCCTGCTGCAGCTACTCCGATATTGAGAAGCTGCGCAGGCTTCTTCCCTTCAAAAAGGGCTATTAGCACAAAGTCTGATGCATAAAAAAATAGCTGTATGCTAATCCTAGGGTCGGCGGCATGAGTAATCTGAGCATGAGCGGAAGGCTCAGGCTTGGTAGGCATGATTCATAATCCTACTGGAGCCTGCAGAGGTTAGTGTCTTAACTGAATCATCAGC